ATAACTGCTGAAATGTTTGCGGGGCAAATCTGAGATCAGTCTGAGCGCTCATCTCACAGTGCGTACAGCCGTACACCTGCAGGCGCCACAGACTCGGACGGCTGTCGTGGTAACAAACACCGTAAACAGCAAACGTTCGCGTGTCCGCGCTTAATGCGCATATCCTATATGAAAAGCATTTTAGGGGGCCCTTGGCTTTTGGGGGCCCAAGGCGGTCGCCTACCTTTGCCTAATGGGTAAGTCCACCCCTGGGTGTTTTATGGCATCCAAACAGCCACAGAAAATTACAGATTTTTTTATTTATTTATTTTATTTTATTTATTGTTGTTACATTTTTTTTTTTTTAAGTCTTCATTCTTATTTTGTGAAAAAAATGAAAAAATTTATCGATTTTTTTTTTAATGAGCTGTAAGATTTTTTTTGTTCTTCAAAGAACTCTCTTCTGCTCACCAAGGCTGAATTTATTTGATGAAAAATACAATAACAACTGTAAAATATTATTACAATACAAAAAAGTGTTTTCTATGTGAATATACTGTAAACTGTAATTTATTCCTGTGTTCAAAGCTGAATTTTCATCATCATTACTCCAGTCTTCAGTGTCACATGATCTTCAGAAATCATTCTAATATGCTGATTTGCTGCTCAAGAAACATTTCTGATTATTATCAGTGTTGAAAACACTTCTGCTGCTGTGTGGAAACTGAGACTTTAAAAAAAATATATATATATTTTTCAGGATTCACAGATGAATAAAAAAGTCAAAAGCACAGCATTTATTTGAAATAGAAATCTTTGGTAACATTTTAAATGTCTTTACTGTAACTTTTGATCAATTTAATGCATCCTTGCTGAATAAAAATGAATTTCTTTCAAACAAAAGACCACCATGTGTGAGGACTACTTCAACCAAAGCAGGAGACAATCTGATGAAAGTTGTCGGACAAATTTGAAAAGGTAGTTTCTGTGTCTAGTACATACTCTGTAGCTGCAGGCCTCATCGTCCTCAATTTTGACTCCTGGCGTGTGTGTGCTGGGCTCCCCGAGGTCCGTCAGGTCCTGCCAGTCGCACGACGAGTCTTTGGAAAACCCACTGAGGTCCAGCGACTGATCGCCGCCACCCAGAGATGCGTCATTATCGGGAGACGAAGCTTCAAACTCCTGCTTCAATCCCGACGCCAACTCGGCCTGAAGCTGCTTTCGTTTCATCAATGCGCGCCAATCCAGGTAGCGCCGCTTGACCTCGGCCGCCGTCCGCAGCTCCCCCTCGCCGAGAGTGTTCACGCTGTCTGCCACCTCCTCCCACGCGCGCCGCTTTAGCTCGTTGATGGCCATGTTCTGTTGGCGGGAGAACAAAATCTCACGTCGCTTGTGGATCTCGCGGATCAGAGTCTGAGTTTCCTTCACGCTGTAGTTGCTCTTCCTCTTCCTCTTTAGGTGCTTCATCTGCAGGAAGTCCATGCTGGAGATGATCGGCTACTGAGAAGCGAATTCTGTCACTCCAGACACATCTCCAAGTTCATGCTGACACACATTTTGTGTTTCTGTGAGCAGGAAAGTGTTGAGGTCATTCAGAGGTCAAACTGTCTCCTAACCGCATGCAAAATGACAGCAGGATCCGACCATCTGGTTTCCTACAACAAAACAAACACACAGTTTTAGTTAGTTACACATAATAAGTTTATGTTAATAAATCTGACATATCTGTACATTATTTCCTGTGCACAAAACCAGCTGTGAATAAAACCAGAAAGTTACAATAGATTGCATATATGTGACCCTGCAGCACAAAAGCAGTCTTAAGTCGCTGGGGTATATTTGTAGCTATAGCCAACAATACATTGTATGGGTCAAAATTATCCTTTTTTTTTATGCCAAAAATCATGAGGACATTAAGTAAAGATCATGTTCCATGAAGATATTTTTGTAAATTTCCTACTGTAAATATATCAAAACTTTGTTTTATTTATATATTTTAAAATGTAATTTATTCCTGTGATGCAAAGCTGAATTTTCAGCAACATTACTCCAGCCTTTGGCGTCACATGATCCTTCCGAAATCATTCTAATGTGTTAGAACTAGAAAGCAAAATAAATAAATAAATTTGATCAATTTAATGATCAATTAATTTGATTAATTTATGAAAGCTTCTTATGATGTTTTGAAGGAGATTCCATAATCATCATGCAGTACCTTATTACCATTTCATAATATAATACAGGGAATAACAGTACATATGGCGTTTTTTGTAGAAAAATATGGTTACAAGGAAATATTTTGTCAAGTATATCCATATACAGCATGATTAATATGACATCACATAGTGCGAATACTATCACTTATATCAAACATAAACACATCAGTGCGGCTGTGTAAACATGTCGCCAGAAAGCGCTGCAATAGAAACCTATACTATCATGTTTTCCACACATATGGCTCTTTATATAACAAAAAATAAACGCCATAACACACACCACAAAAAACCCCGTCGTGCTTATTTGATTTATTTATTCAAACACTCACCGGTGGAGAAAAGCGTCGACCACTCCATCCACACAGCCGAACTGTGCCGAACACTTCCGACAACGCGCGATTGGTCAACGAGCGTCACCGCCCTCTCCTTCAGCCAATCAGACGAGGCGCTCACCGTTCAGCCCCGCCCACAGCATATTCTTCCGGTTTCCTGCGTGTGGTTTGGAACCCATGTGCAGGCGTACCATAGAAAGCAAAACAAATGCTACAAATTGCATAAGACAATATAATACGCAATAATGATGACTGCATATTATTAATTAATATTGTAATAATGAACCGCAACTTTATAATATATAACAGCTGATAATGATGCGTATTTCTACTAGCAGTACTATAGGATAATAACAGTGGTTGTCATTGACTGTTGTGGTTGTCAGGGATGGACGGGGTCCGGTGGGCGTTCCGCTGCGGTTCGTGGGTACCGACCCGTTCCGAGTGGACCCTGGCGGCCCGGTGCGTTCAGCAGGAGGAGAAAGAACGGATCGCGCAGTTCGTGTTCGCCAAAGATGCTAAATCCGCCATGGTGGGTACAACAGAGTGACAGATGGATAGACTTCACAATAAATATCAACTTTAACTTAGAAAATAATCATTGTAACATTTTTTGCACTTCTGATATTTAATATTATGTTAATATAATTTTTTTTGTTAATATTTCACTTTGCACAACTTTGCCGCAAACTCCTTGATACAAGTACAAGCTCACTAAAGATGACTAAAATTAAAATGATCGATAGATTTGCTATCTAATTGTCATTGCAATTTACAAGTGGCATCTACTAACTTTTTATGAAAATTTGTCTGCATTTTTATGCATGCATTTATTAATTAATTCGTTTATTTGTTTACTTATTTCTGCATTCATTATTTATTTATTTCATGAATCACTCAATTAATATAATTATTCATGTATTAATTTTATTTATGCTTTTCTTTTTATGTAATTGTTTATTATTTATTAATTAATTGGTTCATTTATTTACACATTTTTATTTATGCATCATTCATTTAATTAATTCATTAAATTTATTTATGCATCAATTCACTTATTCATTCAGGCATTCATTATTTATTGATTGATGCATACATTCATTTACTAATTAATTGATTCATTTATATATTATTTATTGATTTATGAAGTCATTTAGTTTATTAGTTAATTAATTAATTTATGCATTCATTCATTATTTATTGATTTATGCATGAATTCATTCATTAATTGATGCATTCATTTGTTTACGATACAATACGATATAACTTTATTGTCAGACAAAGTCTTATATTTGTCTTGCGTTACAGCAGGTTCTCTCATAATTACAAAACTTTATCACATGGACAAAAGACCGACAGAACTTTCACAGTCACAAAAAAAAGAAAAAAGAAAAAAAAAGCTCCAGTACAGATTAAATATTTTGTAACTTGTTCAGCTCTAAAACAGCTTGGTGTACAAAGGAATACTTAATTTGATTATATCTTGGAACCTTATTCCACCGATTTATTTAGTTATTTAATAATAGTACCATGCTGTCTGTTGGTTTTTTACATTTCTTTGTGTGTTTGCATCAGGCTGGTCGTCTGCTGATCAGAAAGCTGGTGTGTGAGAAGATGGGTTTTGCATGGGACGGGTTTCGGCTGGAAAGAACAGCGCGGGGGAAACCGTTCTTGCCACGGACCTCATCCACCCCCGGCGTCACCCACTGGAACTTCAACGTGTCCCATCAGGGAGATTACGCCGTGCTGGCAGCAGAACCGGGAGGCCAGGTGGGCGTAGACGTGATGAAGACCAGCAGACCAGGTAACTTTCACTGCCCTTGAGCTCCTACTATGTCACCTGAGTTTACAGTCCTCACAACAGTCACCAATACAGCAAGAGACACTGCAGTTCCATCAGCGGCCAGCAGGTGTCGATCTATACCTGTGCTTTAGGCAGAGCAGGCTGGGAAAGAATGTAGCTCAGAAAGGGTTTTTGAGGTGCATAATTTCTGGCTTTGCTGTAAAATGTAAATTTGTATCAGCTCGTAGGAATCATGTTTCTGTGTAGAACATGATTATTAAATTACTGATTTTTCTTGCTTTTATGAAATAATGCAGAGTTCTGTGTACTATGTGATTCACTATAATATCCACAACTCAAAACTCCCTCCACGGTCACCCAAAACATTTTCTGAAATAAACTGCAAATGACAACACTAATTAATTATGATAGATTATGTATACTAAAAAAAGAAGAAAAAGTATTACGCTGATTTGACCAAATTACCAGTGTTTTTTTTTTGTTTTTTTTGGCTTGATATGAAATATACTGGCATTGTTTAAAGTTTAAGAAATAAATTACATTTTTAGATTTTATTATATATATATATATTGTATATTTATAATTGCATTAAAAAAATGTATTAAATTTATATATATAAATGTATATATATATATAGCTCATTAACATATGACGGCTACATTTAAATATCAAAACCTGTTCAATATTAAGCGACTGCGTCTGTACACAGGAAAAATAAATATAAAGGTGGTAAAACCAATCATAAAAGAGGCCAATTACATTCTAAAGCAGTGTTTAAATGTAAAGGTCAAAGAAAAATTGGGGAAATTATTATAAAAAAATTGAAGTACAACATTTTTGGTGCAGAAACCTTCACTAATGTGAAATTCAAGGGTAAAACAAAAGTGTAGCATATGAGCTTTTAGGTGATTTCTGTGTATGTTTGTGTGCACCTCAGGCAGCAGCTCCGTACAGGAGTTTTTCCGGATCATGAATCGTCAGTTCACGTATCTGGAGTGGATGAACATCCGGAAGGCCGGATCGGACTGGGACCAACTGGACATGTTTTATAGGCACTGGGTAACTATAGCAACCACTGCTTCCTGTAGCATCATCATCATCATCTCCTCCCGGCAACAAGATGTGCACACACACTTACACAGACACTTACACACATCTAGAAGCATATCGCAGCGGGAGAGAAATTGTGCTGGATGAAACTGTTCCAATTCTGATCCCTGTTTCCATGGCGATGTGATCTCATCACTTCAGCATGACTCAGTTATGCCAGTCTGTGGTCATTTGAGGACTCTCATAAACACACACACACACACACACACTCATGTACTTGTATCAGTGCTGTAGGTAAGAATGTGGTCAGTCACACACACACACACACACACACACACTCACCTAACTGTCCAAACCTAACCTTACAAGAACATTACATGCATTTTTACATTTTTAGTTAAAAAAAATAGCATTATTTGCCTTGTTTATTAATCATTTGACCTTTGAGGATGTCTACAGAATATCTTACAGTAGTTAAATTATTTGTAACATTTTTTAGTTTTATAACAAAGCAGATTTTGTTTTGTATTTTAAAAAGAAATAAATGTCGCAATAATTAGATGTATACGAAAATATATCAGAGTATTACACTGATTTTACCAAAGTCAAATGTTTTATGTGTTAATGACGTGTGTATAATGTTTAAAGTGAAAGAAATTACACTAATTGTAATTTTTTTTTTTAAATATATATATATATAAATTAAAAATTGATGTTCATGAAATATTACATTAATAGTTATTTTTTTACAATTAATTAATTTTGTGAATATTTTTTGTGTTTTTCATAACATTAATATATAATAATATCTAATTAAAAAATACTTTAAATCATTATTAATAATACTGTTTAAGAAATTATTACATTAAGTAATTAAGATAATTTATTTCTTATTTTTTTATTTTATAAGAACTAAAAAAAGTGAAAACTCGCCACCAGTCTCAAAAGTGAGGTTTTGTCAGATTTAGCCCATGTAGCGAAGTAAACATTACTTTGTACACTGTTTTTCCTTGCATACTGCATACTGGTTTCACATACTATTTTAGTATTCTATATAGACACTGTAAATTATTTAGGCAGTTCATTCTGAATATATCCAGAGGCTTGATTAACTCTGATTGGTCTGTTTTTCTGTCCGTCGAGGCGCTAAAGGAGAGCTTCATCAAAGCGATTGGCACAGGGCTGGGCTTCGATCTGCAGAGGGTGGAGTTTCACATCTCGCCCAATCAGATGCGAGAGGGGCAAGTGTACCCGCAGACACAGATGTACCTGGACAATGAAGTAGAGCACTGGACATTTGAGGTGTGTCTTATATACCAGCATTACTAACTATTCATTCAGCACACAGGTTCATCCTCTCAGGCCATGAGACAGCCGGATATGTGTGTGTGTGTGTGTTTCTCATGGTCTCTGTGTCTGTCAGAGCGTGTGAACGTGACACAGATCACAGACGCTTCTCGCTTCCTAGATAGAGCTCACGTTCTTCATTCCTCTGGACTTTTCATCTCGCAACTGAGGAAAAAAAGGTTATTCAGCATATTCAGTAGCAGAAACCAAAAAACTGGGAAAAAACGTCCGAATTGTGACGTAAAGACAGAACAGCTAGAAAGAAAGTCTGAAATCTGCATTTGTATTTGAAAAAAAATGTCAGAACTGTGATAAAAAAAATTGCAATTACCTTTTTTTATTCATTGGCGGAAACAGGCTTCCATTATTTATATGTATAGGCATATAAAAAAATTTGTGCTGTTTTTATGTATTTTAAAGAGTTGGCAGTCAACATTAAAACTGCTGGATGATAGATATTCTTCATTCTTTGACAAACAAGGTGAATTACAGAATGTACAACGTTTTTAAAATGTATAAATTGCGGTGTACAGCGTTTATTATGAGGGGGTAGAATCCACAGCTCAGTACTCACTACTCAATACTCATGAGTACTTTTAAATAGGCTACTCTTTTACTCTTACTCAAGTAGTTTTTTGGACAAGTACTTTTACTCTACTCACACTACATTTTTTGGAAGGTAATGGTACTTTTACTTGAGTATATTTTTTCAGTACTCTTTCCACCACTGCAGCTAATGCTGCAGCCATAGATATGTATTGGCGGCGGTATGCAAGGAAGGAGACCAGAGGCTATTTTATGATTGGCTGAGGTGCCTCACATGATCTAAGTTCACTGTAAGTAATACAGACCCTCTCATCTCATCTCCCTATAGTAAGATCTCTGGCTAAACTTCATGCAGTGTATGTTTCATTCATACTCGAAGCCGGAGGGCGCTCTTGCACAGAAAGTCCAAAACAGCCTCATAGAAGTAATAACTTGTGAGGTGCCAGGAAAGCCCTAATATGGACAAAGGCATCCAGCGATCACTGTAGCTATAAGCTGATTATAAAGCAGAAACGTTTTGACTGATGAAACGTGAAAACAACACACGATTGCGACAATATATGGTTTTTATGTGTAAACACTAACTTCATGAGATTCATACTTTGCTTTAATAAACAGAATATTGATTACATTGTTAATGTAAAAATATAAAATAGAATTGTTTTTTTTTCCACTCTCTTTCTTTTTCTGATAGTGTAAGTAATGTTTATTTAACCAAGAAAATGTGACTGGGACATGAATTTACATTTGATTAAAAAAAACAAAACAAAAAAACACTGAGGACTTTGCCTCATTTCAGAACACCACCACACAGGATAGAACGAATGATAGATAGAACAAACAATCGATATAGATAGACAGACAGACAGAACTATAGACAGTCGGACAGAACGATAGATAGATAGATAGATAGATAGATAGATATTATGTTTCAGCAATCTGGAGTGCGTGTGTGTGTGAGCTGATTTTCTCACCCATCCTCCTCTATGACACACACTCTCCCCTGTTACCACGGCAACCATCCCAGCACAGCCAGCTTTGCCATGGCAACAAGAACACGTGTGATACAGGCAGTCATTCGAGTTAATCTAATCACCATCACTGTCTGAGCAGAGTGAGAGAGAGAGAGAAAATCAGCATCTGGATTATGATGTTTCTGAAACGGCCCATCAGAGACTGATCACGCTCAGGACAGACCCCAGTCATGTGACCCGCGTCCCAAATCACAGCTGTGCAGCTGTTTAGTCACTAGTGTTTATAGAGTGAACAGCACAGGTCACATCTGATGAATCAGTCTCCTCAGGTATATGACCTAGAAAATTCATAATTAATACACTTTTTGCATCCACTGGCTCAGACGTGTGGCATTATACAAGCTTCTATTCTATTCTTAGGTTTGGAAATGTGGTGGCAGCTTTGGTCTCACATACATTTGTACAATTGAAAAACGTCACATGGTGGGGGTTATAAAAGATTTCCCAGAGCTCAGTGGGAGCGCCCACATGCAAATCTCTGACGTGCTGCAATGTGACCAATAGCAGAGCTGATAGAAGATTTCAGTGACATCACAATAACAGAAGACTGGTGATGACATCACCACATAAAAAGACTCTGACTCATTGTGTGTGTACACATCCAGAAAAATAAATAACATCCAGACTGTGTGCGTGTTTACCTGTTTGTGAACAGGATCCCTGTTGCCATAGTAACAGCCAGGCCTTTTTGAAACGTCACATTGAAACCAGTGTCGCATCCCTGGATAGTAAATTTCACATTGCCACTATGTGCAGCGTCACCAGAGATGAAGAACATTGTAGGTTAAAGCAGAATGTCCCACATTCACACAATCGAAGGGCGAAAGAAGAGAAAAGGAATGTTTCAGGCCAAAAAAGGCAGTAACAGAATAAAATAATGAAATTTTGCATTTAAGTTCTATTTTAAATCAGCATAAAGAATGTAAAAAAATATATAGATTTGCATACAAAGAAATGCTAAAAATTTTATTAAGAAATTAATACTTTTATTCAGCAAGGATGCATTAAATCGATCAAAAGTGACAGTAAAGACATTTGATGTTACAAAAGATTTCTATTTCAAATAAATGCTATTTTTTAACGTTCTATTCATCAAAGAACGCTAAAAATATATCATGATTTCCACAAAAAATATTGGGCAGCACAACTGTTAATAATCAGAAATGTTTCTTGAGCAGCAAAGCAGCATATTAGAATGATTTCTGAAGATCATGTGACACTGAAGACTGGAGTAATGATGCTGAAAACTCAGCTGCGCATCACATGACACTGAAGGAGTAATGATGCTGAAAACTCAGCTGCGCATCACAGCAATAAATTACCTTTTAACATATAATCACATAGAAAACCGTTATTTTAAACGGTAATAATATTAGAAATTTTTACAGCATTTTTGATTTAATAAATGCAGCGTTAGTCAGCAGAAGAGACGTCTGCGGAAAAAAAATCTCACCCTAAAATTCTGATCAGTAGTAGTGCATGTCAGTTTACACAAAATGTAAAGTTTAATTCCTTAAAGTATACATTTACATGATCCAAAATGTGAAAAACTGCAAATAACAGCGGATTAAAAAGTCGAAGAGGTTTGAGCTGAATTCATTGCAGAAGAAGTGTGTAAAGCAGGTAATGACAGCACTGAGATGCGTTTACGTGTGTCTGTGTGTCCTTATATTACCTTGCCATCAAAAGAATAATTGGACACATCAATAGAGCTGCTGCAGTGTTTTCCCTCAGGTAATACAGTGTAATGCGTGTATGCGTTTCTCAAAGGATCGTGCACAGCAGCACAAAGAAGAACAGCACAATGTCTGTTAATAAAAGCACTCTCAAAGAGCAAAGATGATAATTATTTAATCAAGCAGACCTTAATGATTAAATAATCATGACATGAGCAGGTCTAATGTCCATTACACTGGAGACAAACACTAAAACACACTCGCTGCAGTGAAATGAGTGCATGTTTTGATGAATGTCAGGGTTTTAGTGTTGTACGTTTTGCGTCAGATAGAATTTCTTTCTTTTTTTTTTTTTGTTGCAAATGACCAACAATATTCTTTCAAAAAGGAATGGTTTACTCAAATGAAAATTTGTTGAAAATGTGCTCACTTCGGAGCGCGGAACGAGAATCAATTGATTCAGATCGGAACGGGTTTATAAATCATTCGATTCAGATCGGGACTTCGGAGTGGGTTCATGAATCATTCGATTCAGATCGGAACATCGAAGCGGGTTCATGAATCATTCGATTCAGATCGGAACTTCGGA